GCAATCGTTACAGGCTATTTTATATACAACATTGTTTTTACAATTTTTGTTAAGTATATCTTTCTGAACTTTGATATACTTGCTCATTTTATTCGGGCTGTGATAAGACACTCTAATATCATTCGAATTAAACCTTTTAAATTTTTCTGTATGAAAAGGAATAAATGGTACCGTCAACCAAGAAACTGGTTTTTCATTCATAGATGTATCTGTAGTTTTATGTTGTATAGCGTGTCTGGATTTTATTGAATATTTTATTCGTTGATTGACTGTTTCAAAAATAAACTTGATGGGATAATCGTTGTCTAGTAAAATGTTAATGATAAAAGTCAAGTTTTTGTAATGAAATCTATAGTCAGATAATAAAAATGCTCTGTCAACTAACGAAAATATTGTACCTCTCTTCTGAGAGAGTGGATGGTTCGATAAAAAATTCAGAAATCTCCCAGAGAAGGTAGGTTTACGGTACCAATCAAATATAATTTTATTATTGTGTATAAAAATTGAAACGTCCAAAAAATCAATCTTATCACCGCCCTTTTCTACACTGAATTGAAGACGTGGATGAAATTCGTTAAACTTGTCCAATATCATGTCTATGTCCGAAGGGACAACCGCCATGCATACATCATCAACATATCTATAATAAAACTTAGGACTATTCTTAATCGATGATAACGCCCATGTCTCCAGTTTTCTCATCACTAAATCGGCGATAATCGGAGACAACGGAGAGCCCATAGGAATACCAAAACATTGTCTATATGTCTTATTATTAAAAACAAAAAATGTAGATTCCAGGATCATCTGTGTAGCGCTTAGAAATTCTTCCCTTGGTAGAGAACACCGGCGAGAAATTGAACTCCACCATTCATTTATGCAGTCAAGTGCAATATCCAAAGGAACATTCGTAAAGAGAGACACAACATCTAATGAAACTAAAGAATAATTATTATCAATATGAACATTTTTCAATACGTCAATGAGTTGAAAACTATTTTTTAAGTAACTCTCGGTCCTTGGAATTGATTCGAATAATATTTTATGTAAAAATGTAGCTAATGCATGCAGTGGGCTACCAACAGACGACACTATAATTCTAAGCGGTACTTGAGGTTTGTGTATCTTTGGAACTCCATACTCTCTCGACAATCTCCCATCACTACAATACAATTTTTTATAAGTCAAATCGTCGATATATCCTTTCTTTTTCCATTTGGTGAGCAGTGTTCTGAATGTAGTTGTAAGAGTTCTAACTGGATCTTTCTTAACGCAACTATAAGTATCAGTGTCACTCAGAATTGTAGTCATATTCATGATGTAAGTACTTTTGTCCATGGCCACGGTAACGTTACCTTTGTCTGCATGCGTAAAAATTATGTTAGGATGTGCAGAAATGAATTATCTTGTATCCGATTCCATCTTTTTTAATTTAACGTCATTAGGAGACTTAAAGATTGGCTGGGAAATGACACCATTAAGAATTGGAATTGTGTTGTTGGTGACGGTAATTCTCCTATCAATAGGCATCCTTAAAGTGCTATTTTCTACACTCTTAATGCATTCCAACACTATATTACTTTTTTTATTGTAGGGGAGAGCAAATCCTTCCCCTAATTGTAGAAAACATTGGATGTCCTGAGGTATCTTCGTCGAAGATAAATTTATGAACCATTTTTCTCTGATGTTCGTTAAGGAAGAAGTATGCGGTAGTTGAAACATATTTGTATAAATCGAAATCGAATGTTCGTCAAGTATCAACGATCGGGAATCTCCGGTATTATTGTTGTTATGGTTGTTAATTTGTAGGTTGGAATGAGCAAATTCAAAGTTGCGATCTTTAGACTCATGACACTGATAGCGAATAGATGCTACATTTGCTACTATTAATTTTTCTTTTTTATGCAAGAGCCATGCTAATTTAGAATCAAGTCTCTTTTTTCCCTGATATACAATGTGTGCATTTTCTTCTCTTGCGTATTTAAAAATACATCGCAAATCTTAATGGGAAGACATTTAGACAACATGCTCACCACATGGAACAATCGCGATCTTAAATGCGAGGTTTCTCTATGAGCATCATTAAGTTCAATGTTTAAAATTCTTCTTACACTTGAGTCTTTAAACTGAGCCAACCTCTTGTTAGACTCTACATTATATACACGAATTTTTAACTTATCGATACAGTACAAATGTTGTGGTGTTATTTTCTTAATAATGCATAATTTAATGAATCTAATGTGCAGATGATGTTTAATTATCAATCTTCGAAGTCTTATCCATGATTTTAAATTCTTGACTGCAAGTACGAACATAGACATGATATTGGACAAGTTTAACGAATTTCACCCACGTCTTCAATTCACTGTAGAAAAGGGCGGTGATAAGATAGATTTCTTGGACGTTTCAATTTTTATACACAATAACAAATTTATATTTGATTGGTACCGTAAACCTACCTTCTCTGGGAGATTTCTTAATTTTTTATCGAACCATCCACTCTCTCAGAAGAGAGGTACAGTATTTTCGTTAGTTGACAGAGCATTTTTATTGTCTGACTATAGATTTCATTACAAAAATTTGACTTTTATCATTAATATTTTACTAGACAACGATTATCCCATCAAGTTTATTTTTGAAACAGTCAATCAACGAATAAAATATTTAATAAAATCTAGACACGCTATACAACATAAAACTACAGATACATCTATGAATGAAAAATCAGTTTCTTGGTTGACGGTACCATTCATTCCTTTTCATACAGAAAAATTTAAAAGGTTTAATTCTAATGATATTAGAGTGTCTTATCACAGCCCGAATAAAATGAGCAAGTATATCAAAGTTCAGAAAGATATACTTAACAAAAATTGTAAAAACAATGTTGTATATAAAATATCCTGTAACGATTGCGACGCATCTTATGTTGGTCAAACAGGAAGACAATTAAGAACACGAATCTCGGAGCATCGAAATCACATAAAATATAACACTACAACGCGTTCTGTTATAACAGAACATAGATTGCAGAACAATCACGATTTTCGTTGGGACGATGTAGAAATTTTGGATGAAGAGCCAATCTATAGGAAAAGATTAATTTCTGAAATGGTCAATATCAAGAAGCAAACAAACAGTTTAAACTTACAGACGGACACCGAAGGTCTCCACAGAGCATATTTACCAATTATAAATAAAATATGTTATTGAAACTCGCTCTCGTTGTTTAGACGAAAAGTAGATGTGACGACAGGCAGACGTGTTACAGTAATTGGAAAAATTGTAACGGGCAGAACATCTTTCTTGGCCTTTTTTGAGAAATTTCCTTTTGTTTGTGAAATCCAACAGTGAAGGTGCGAATGAACTAACTTATTTTCAACTTAGAGGTAATAATCGATATTATTAAATATATTTACAGTTTTTTCAACGAGATTGACAATTGATTGAGTCAAACTTCATTCTTCGATGGATTAATTTTCATGACAAGATCAATTTTTTATACATATACAACTTGTTCTCACTTCTGAAGAAGACTCGAAACAAGAGTCGAAACGTTAAGCGGAAAGCGGATATTTATTATTTAGATTAGACTATTTTGTTCAATTTTATGATTTTGCGTTTTGTAATTATTGCGATTTAACATTGACTGTGCAAGAACATTATTTTGTATAATAAGAATATATATTAAGTTTGCTTATCTAATTACTGACTCTTATACCGTCTTATATTTTTACCATTTAATTCAATTTGTTATTAAGAGTCCTATTAAATTTGATCATTTGCTAATACTTAAAATTAAAATCTATTTGCTTGGAATTTTGTGAAGAAATAGATCTGCGACTTGTCGGAAGAATATGTATCAACGAATACGTGATGAGCATATCGAAAATTATTAATGACATAATAAGAGCACGTTAGAAATTAATTGACATATAAATCTTAATATCTCGGTTTTCTTTGTTCTTTTCTTTTTTAATAATACTTGGATAGCATCTGGTAATCACGTATTTGACGAGAATATATTTTTTATTTATAGCATCCTGATTTTGAGTTCTTTGCAATTTCACAATTTCTGCGTTGGAAATCTACTTGTTCGTATTCGTATTATTGTATATTGTAATTTTCATTAAATTTGCGAACGCGCGCGATTTTTGATATCAAGAGAAAAAATTTTTAGTTTGTTTTGTCAGATAAAAATTTTTTATCTATGTGTAACTTTACCTATATTCTTTATGTACTGAAGATGGTCAAATATTGACCGAAACGTTTACTGATTTTATATTAAATACATATTTTAAGCAAATTATATGAAGCGTTATGGCTGTATGCTCTTTATTGTTTACAATTAAGACAAAGGATATTTCGTCTCATACTGCATCATACAGGTAAAATACGCCTGATTGTGTAAACAGGCACCAACACTGGTTTTAACTAAAACGGTTTTTACTAAAATGGTTTTACCAATGCCGTGTAAACGTAGTCTATACCAAATGAGTTCAAGATACCATCGTATTATTGTTAACCGTTGTTATAACAAATATCGACAAACTAGAATTCAAGGTGCTTCTTCATGTGTGAAATATTGTCCTCATATGAATTCTAAATTTGATTAATGCAAAATCGATAGTATGTTGATAGCATCACTTGATTATACATATAGCGTATATAGCGATCATTGTTTGGCACATGTTGCCGTAGAGTTGCCGTAAACATGCTATTACTTGCGGGCAACATGTTGATGATAACAAGTTGCTTTTAAATTGCTGCCTTTAGAATTAGAATTCTATTTAGTTCAACGTGACAGACGTAATGCTGTCTCACCTTGTCCTGAGTTTATCCAAATTAGTTATTGCAACGATTTTCGGGAACGTATCAGCAAACTCGATGCATTTGGTTATCTAGAAAATACTGGTCTCTAAATAAATTCAACATCTGCCTAAATAATAACAAGTTGCCTGCAGGTTGCTGTCAATTTGTTTAAAACTGTTTTGTTTAAGTTGCCTTCAATATTGAAAAAAATGCCTTCCGATTTTGCCTATTATAGATTGCCGACTTTTATTACCTCTAACTCTTATAAGCAACTTGACGGCAACAGTTGCCCTCTTATAAATCGATCGAATATTGTTAGAAATCACAAGGTAATATGATGAAAATAGTCTAACAGTTTTCACCTAAAGTCTTACTCTCATAAGTTGCAAGTAATATGGCGGCATTTTGACTGAACGAGTGTTGTCGTGCTTTCTGAACGTAAACGAAATGTGATCGAAGTCTTCGTTAAATTTAATAAGTTTGAAAACATTTTAAAATATCAGGAGATTTCATTTACTCGGTAAATATTTCAAAGAAGTATCATGTTTTCATCTTAGAGCAACTTGGGGTCAATTCAAAAAATTATTCATTAGAACACACATCTGAAAAATCTTTTAATGCGTGCCTTATATTCTATTCCACATTTTTAAAATCAAGAAATGTAACTGGAATACTGGATTCCTTCCTTTGTTAGCTGTGCCGCATACTATTTATACGATGCGCCATCTTATTCAATTGACAGAAAAATGGACTACATATTGTGTGTGTCAGTAATGTGCGTGGATAAAATTATAATTGTAAACATATGAAATGTTACAAAAAATCTAAAATTCGAATAGTTATAACTTGATAAAAAAAGGTCATACGATCATAAATCGAAGTTTGTTTCAAAACTCTTGAATTATACTTTCACATTCCGCTCAAATTATTTAAAAGTCAGTTTCCTTCTTGCTGCAAAAAATTATTAAATGTAACCAAAAACGTCATTTTTGCATATTTCATTCCAATTTGCACAAAATATTAATATGCTGGGCCAATCAACGGCATCTTATTCATCACAAAAACATCTTCGGAAAATGTACTATCGTATTTTGGAGAGAAAAGAGTTTTTTGTCGCACTGTGTTACAGATTTTATATTCTCTCTAATGCAAAAAATGATTTGATTATGTTTTAATACCAACGTACGTAGTTAAATGCATTTTGATTAAATAGAATTTTAACTTGTTATGACAATTTTGAGATTTAATAACTGTAACGTTTGATACTCTACTATATTATAAAGGTTATATTATGATTTATATTACACCATATTAATAAATATTTTTCAGCTTAATACATGGTAAACATGGTATTTATTTTTCCCCTCCCAATTGAAATTCTGAGTATGTGTATTACCAAATAATTCAAAAGTTTAATTAAATTAAAAATCTTTGTAGTAATGTAAGTATCATAATTGCTATAATAATTAACAAATATGTTAGAAGAAGAATCTATATTACCTTCAACTTTATAAGTTAAAAAATGTGCT